GTTCTGTGATACATTTACACAAAACCAGAAATCATTTTGGATTTGTAAGTAAAACCCAGCCCGTATAATAAGTAATATGACTGACTATTTAACTTCTCATGGTGTTACAAGCCAAGCCCGCCGTCAAATTTCCCTCTAGGTCTTTTTCATTGCACAAATTAAAATGTCGCCGTGAATGTTGAGTCCAGATACATAATTTATCTCAGACACGTCATTAATTTGTTCAGAAATCGAAAACCTGCTTTCACACTATAGTGTAGCTCTTGACGTGTCTTTTTATGATAATATTTCAGTCAGGCTTTTTCAACAGCAAAAGGTCATATAGATCTACGTTTCAAAATAAATAGAAAGCTATAAAAATACACCTTCATTTGTTCAGTTTGACGATCTTTGTTCAAATCACTAAAATTTATTTACACTTTGAAAACATATTCCGTAGTCACTTACGTCCCTCAGTAGGGGTGCACCGATTTTCTCTCTAATCGTTGGCGACGAATCCTTTCAGTACGAATAGGTCCACTAAAATTGTGTTACAAAAGCATCTTTCCAGTGAAATCTTGAGGAGTTTGATCTCTGCAAGGTTTTTAGAAACCGGAAGCTCTTTCGCCTAGGTACCAAAAACGTTTCGAACCTTCTCAACCTCACACGATAACTTCCCTGCCTTACTGATATTCTTGTGTAGAGTCTTCTCTTTGACTTGCGTAGAAATACCGCTGACATAGACAGGAAGAGAACGGTCCATTCGCACTTCATTGGTTTCCAGTTTCTTTTGCTCGATCTCTCGTGCCCAGTCCTCCCATCTATCTGGCGCGGCTGACACGTGATTGAGCCTAAACCAAAGTGGTCAGCGTCACTTTGACACCTAGTTATGCTGCACTTAATTGGTTACTGCTCCAGCTCCTACAGCATGGGGTCTACTTGACGCAGAGAAACCCTTTCACACAGGCAAGGAACGTGTCTAGGCTTTTTCTGAACCGCACCTTGTTCAGTCTGTCCAGTGATAACTTCATGTCGCTGGGAGTGAGTTGATTAAATGCGTCTAAAAGACGCTGACAAACAACCTGGTCCGTCTGTTGTGCTAGAAGACTGCGAACCAACTCGGTATAATACATCTATACAGAAAAAAAAAGAAAAAAGAAAAAACAAGCAAAAAATTCAATAGTGGCAACTCAGTAGTATTCTTTAACGACTCTGACGAGGTAATAGGAAACCCTGATCAAGAACCACAAGTTCACGACGTGAACATGGTTACATTGGTCACGGACTCTAATTTCTCAACGCAAACATGGACTCACAAATAACCAAGAAGGCAGAGAGGGTGAGGGGCCGCCAATCTTTCTCATCTCCCTCCCTCTACCGACCAGCTTGCAATGATTACAGTGAATCTCTTCGCGCGCCCAACGATCTGACAAAATAGAGGCTCTGATCGTCTAAGCAGGAATGGTAAGGATTAACAATCCGCGTACTAGTATTGTAAGGTTAAATTATTTGTTGATAGCGTCATAACCTGGTGACAGCAAATCAAGGCGAGAAACGCTTCTGCTGCAGGTTGAAGTAGATCCATGTCAAAGGACTGTAGAAGGAGCATGTCAAACAGAGTCTGGAGAAGGAAAACGAAACACTGTAAGATAAAAAGTAGTGACAACCAGATCTTTTGGGTTTCTCTCTGTGCATGTCACACGCACCGTTGAGTGACAGAAATTATCAGCCAGTTCTTACACTTGCCTATACAGTGTTCAATCAATCAATCAATCAATCAATCAATCAATCAATCAATCAATCAATCAATCAACGACAGTGACTTTGTTATAGTGCCAGAATATATAGCCGAGGGTATAGACCCTCTAATGCGGGTATATACCCTCTAAATGAGGGTATAGACCCTGTAATAATTGGGGACACTTCAATACTGTCTTATTTTTAGAGTCGAAGCCACCGTCTTTGAGTACCTTCAGGAAATGCTGAAGAATCTCGTGCATGGGAACTTTCACATTTTTCTGTATTTCAAGGTAGCAGTGCGTTGCTAAGGACGATAGAGCCTCCAAAGACATTTTGGTTACATCTGGTCCATAGCTACATCATTAGTCAAGGAAAACACTAAAACAGGTCAGTTAATCTGGGGCGAGTCTCATCCCGCAGTTGCTTGTGGGATAGCCTCTTCCGCGCACGATCCTGATGCTTGTCACACAATCTTTCCTCCAGGACGAAGGAAGGGCGCGTGACGATCCATGAAAACGTCTGTGCAGGAGGCTACTCGTGGGACCGTCTTGGAGACAATATGGCATCTGTCTTTTGTTTTTTTCTCCAGTAACGGTCGTACAATCGACTGTGCGACGAGACTCGCCGAAGATTTCTTCTCGTTCCTAAAGTAGGAATGAAAATAAAGGAGGTAACTTTCCCAGTCTAAGATGAGGATTTCGTCAATCTTGGAGTAACAGTATCTCAACAAAATTAATGGAAAAGGATACTTTGAGAGCCCCACTTCTAACGAAGCCATTAGGTTCTTGAAAAGTTCGTCTGGCAAGAGAGATATCTTAGCTGGGTACATCTCACACAGGCAGGTCGTAAGTTTGAAAAACTCGGAACACAGCACCGGAAACTGAAACAAATAGTCAATTACTGATTTATACGGAACTTTGAGAAAGAAGTAATTCCACTCTCGCAAGCAATAAATTACGAATGTAGGAACAAAAACTGAGGTGCGGGTGGGCTCACCTTGAGTACTTCGGAGGACATAAGAGGAATGACTACATGAAGACCGTACAGAGCTACGTCAGGCGCTGATACTTTCTGGTCTTCTACAAATGAGAGGGACAAACATTAGGGTCTCCATCGAACTGGCTACTGTATATAGAGGAACATACGCGGCTTAAGGCTGTCCAACTTCCTTCCCAGTGTATTACCTCGATGGAATCATTGAACACGCGTACTGCAAGGTCAAGTCTGTATACGAGCCCAGTGGCCCAACAGGCCGGTCCTTATCTCCGGTTTCATGTTTTTCACTGAACACACGTACGTTCATGTAAACTATCATCTTCGTCACCTTCCCGTATCCTCGTCTCGTCTGTCGATGTAAATTGCTTTGAATGGAGGAGCAAGTCTTAAGAACAAACTAAATAAACCGGGATTGTCTCCTCGTCAGCGTAAACCGTTCAATCAACCAGAGAGGAAAACGAGAAAGGAAAACAAGTATCCGCTTAAACAAGTTTCCAATAACATTTTCATTCGGGAATAAAAACTTCGAGGCTATTCTTTGCCGGGCTTTTTGTGCCCCGAAATACGTCCACTGGTATTTTGAAAACGCTGGCTTTCAACACCGAGAAAAATTATTTAATTCAACAGTTAACCAAGTTCACTGACCTGAGCCAAAATTAAGGATATCTTTAGACAGCAGGTTAGTTAGGAGTTTTATCAGAAGAAGAAGGTCGTTCAGTTGTTCCTCTTCTGTGAGAGCTTCCTCGCTTACTTTTCCTGAAAAAAAAAATTCGTTTCGATGACAACAGAGACCTTGAGAACTCAAGCAGCAGAGGAAACCATTTATCAGCTTAAAGTGTACAATTCTAACGCCATTACCTCGGGTAACATTCATGTGATTTTTAATCATGTTGGCAGCATTTCCACTTTTACATGTACGTCTATCTAGCCCCTTATAGTGTTTATTTCCCAACGAAATTATTTCGAGGATTGTACGTAAGAACGGCAAATAATTAATGGTGTACTTACCTAAGTTACATTTTCCGTACGTTTGAACAAGTGCCATACAGACTTCATAAAGCCTTGGTATTTCATCCTAAAGAACATGTCATACAAAAAACTTTAACACAAGGAACGGATCTCAAGAAATTTTCGGATCCTATATTATTCGCCACATTTACAGTAGCATGTTAAAGCCTAGTTCACACTGGCGACATAAACATATCACGACATAGGAAAGCCGTTATGTCGTTATTGTGAACATCCTGGCATAACGACATAATAGCAACATAACAGCATGAACATAACGACAAAAGGAAAACGCTGATCTTTTCCTTATGTCTTAATGTCGATGTTCAAATTACCGACATAAGCGATTACGACGTTGTGTCGTTACGTCGCCAGTGTGAACCAGGCCTTACAATTATGATTTTCTTTTTCGCAGCTGGAGTGCTTAGCATTTTTGCAAAACCGTCGTATCGTTAGTCAACCTTACATCGTTTACCCATTTGTTGAGTTATGTTTATTCTTCTTTTCTTATATTTATTCTTCTCGAAGTCAAACTAAAGACAGACGAGTACGATACAGAGTTTTTGTCATGTCGCATGCCACGTCGTAGTTCCCCGATGTCCTGAGCTTTAAATCAGTTTTACAACCTAAGAGAACATACATAACACACATACATAACACTCTTCGTGCGTAAGTAGCACATAAGCCCATGTTCTCTTAGTTTTACAAACCAAGAGAACATAGGCCTAATAAATCAAGAGCAAACAAACATTTTTACAACTCACCTCATCAAGATAAGTAATTTGAGAGTCAATGAGATCAACATAAAATTCCAAAACCAGAACAACCACTTCAGGACAGTTTTGATACACATTTAACAGCGCCACACAGTTTGTAAGCACGGGCATGAGATAGCTGAAAAGCGTGCGTGCATTGCGGAGATTTGATGCCAGTGCCACGCCTCTAAAGGACTCCAGTAAACTCTGGACTTGACTTTTTATTGGTTCCTTTTGAGATGATTTTGTGAAGTCCGGCTGGTGACAGATTCCCAAGAAGTAAGACTGTAAGGTCTGCAACAGCTGCAAAGAAATAGCACGGTGTTTCAGTATTTGTCTTCAAACTAAAACTAACCTTAGGTACAGTGTCAATAGAGCGGTTTGCCGTTAAAAGTCGTAAAACCAAACCAGAGTCATAACCCTCGTCAATCACAAAGGACACACACCATCCATTGAACCAATCAAAACTCGAAGCAAATACATATAGATGACACGAAGCGCGGGAAAATGAGAGCGGTAGAGCTACGATTGGTTCTGGATTTAGTTGTAATTGTATGACAAAGTGAAGAACGTTTTTTAAGCCAATCGCTCAGCGAGGTAATAATAGCCAAGGCAAAAGAGAATTTCTTTCGACACTCGGAAGAAACCATTCTAAACACGCACAAGCTAAAATGGAGAACAAGGCTGCAGGTTGTGGTCCATTTGGTGTCTTATTTGTCGTTGCAGGTTTTGAATTTTCCCGCGCAAGTAACAACCAATCAGACGCTCTACACGAATTTAAATCTACGTCATCAGTAAGGAATTTTTTTGGTAGAGCTTTCCTGATTGGTTGTAACGACGCAGGACGCGGGAAAACGTAACCAAGCAACAGCGAATCAGAGACCCCCCACTTCTCACCTGATCTAAATACTTCTTCCTGACAGCAGTATCGTCCTCAGCCGAGCCTGCCAGGACCAATGCCTGCGTGAGGAAACGCAACACCTCAGGTGGCAGCTCATGTAGCAAGGCTGTTTTAGACATGTGTTCCTGTGCCAAGAGCCACAAGCTTTCAAACGAGATGGCTACCTCTGCTCTGTGGAGAAAAATCAACAATCAGCATTTTAGTGAAAAGTAAATTTTTTGAAAACTTTCTAACAGTCTCAGAGCAGAAACAGAAAGCAATAGATACATGTGTACCTGTTTTTGTTGTTTACCAAACTTAATAACAACATGGCAGAATCCTCGACAATCTGTGACTCTGCAGACCATCCAGACAAGTTGGTCCTGACCTTATCCAAAAGAAACCCTAAGGTCCATTTGCCGCCATCTGTGCCTGTCCCGAACACAGACACGAGTGTCACGCTCAGCTGGTCATACTCCTTTTCATCCGGTATCAGATACGACTTGGCCCAGTGTCGCAGACACCAGACAATTGTCCGTCCCACCTGTGGGCTCAAAAGCTCTGACAGTTCAGAGGCTAAAGCGAGTTTTTCCAGATTTGCTAACCGGAAGATGACTGATACAAGTCTCACTACTGGGTCAACCCTTGAGTAGTCCAGTACAGTATTTGAATCTCCTACAACGGGAATAAAATGCCAGTGAGCGAAGATGTAGTTTCAAAATTTGGGGATAAAAGAGCAACGCAACACACTCATAATGTCTTGGCTTTGACAGGGGGCTAAAAAGATGTTTCACTTAATCTTCATCTCAATCAATGCACTATTCAAAGGAAGCATTAAAACTCTACTTTCAAGTGGTGTAGTTTTTTCAATATTCTGATTGCAACCTGTTTTCCTCTCGAAAATCAAAAAGGAGAATAGATCGTTTTCACTGTCACGAAACAAAAAAAAAATAAATCGAGAACCATCCAGTGGAAAAAGCTATGAAGTTATGATGTTATAGAAGATAACTAAATAAGGCACTTATCCAAATTTTAGGCATGTGCGTTTCCCCAAACTTCAGATATTCGTCGAAATGTTTCGCCGATATTTACAGAGCCCAGTATGAAAACGCCATGTACCTCCGTGG